ATGCAAAGGAACGGGGGGGGGGGATATCCGTTCACAAAGAGATGCGTTTATGACGATGCCCGGCCATTTATATAATATCGTATTATTAATAATAATATAATATCGGTCTTGGCATAGACCGGATATATTATTACAATACACACATAATAATATATAATAGGTATTATACCACAACACACACACACATACAAAATGATCAATCAAAAATGTCGAGAGACGCCGTGTGCGTTTTAGTGTGTGTGTAAGTTTATACGCTTGTGTGTGCCATAAAATACGAAATTTTAATAGTTACTGTTTTCAATTATCAAATGCATTTCGCGTTAAACGATAACGCGCTGTTCGAAGTAAAGTTTATTATACAATATATAATAGTTTATTATTATATACATGTATTATGTGTCTCTGATCGTTAGTATTTTAATGATATATTATAAATGTACATTCTCTAAATCTATATTTTTACGACAAATCAATGTTACTGACAATAAAAATAATATTTCAGTTCTCAAAACTAAAAATTATTTATGACTATAATTGATCGCTACATGTAGGTACTTTTTATAATTTTGACAATGTTCACCGACTCATTTATTTAAAATATGTATATTTTCATGATTCAATATAATGTTGGAAAAAACAAATAACATTTAGAGCACCGTGTTTCACAATATTGGAGTTTATTTGTTGTTTTGAATTTCAAGCATTGCTGTAAATATGATTTTACTAGTGGATTTCGAAATAAAATTATCAAGAAGATTTGGGATGCTGAAATCTATTTTTTCATGATTCTATTTTTGATGCAGGTACCTATATACAAAATAAATAAACGATAAAAATATACATTAGATTTTATATGTTATATTATTATCAAAAAAATAAAAACTGTATTGTACAAATGATATCCTTGTGTTGGCCTTTAAACTTAGTTTCCACCGTATAATGTTGTTACATGATATTTTGAAATTTTAGAATTTAAACCCTTAACAATAATAACAATACTATCAGCTTTTTAATATAAAATAATATGATTAAATTATCTTAATCGTCAATAAAATATTAAGATGTCTGAACTGACGCACTATACAAATCATATTAATCGAAATTGAAGCTGTTAAGTTTATTTAAAAGAATATAACAATAACAATCACCTTTAGTGAGTATCCCATTAAAAATGTTTCTCTAATAATTAATAGTTTAATCATTACAATATATTTGTATACAACATTTTATTGTCTTTTGAGACATAATTACTATAAATACATAAAATGAACATAAACTTTCATCATAAACCTTATACGGTTTTACACTCACTGTAGCATATTGTAGCTGGCATACCAAAACATTGACTAAAGTCCCAAATAGCACTTGTTAGTGGGTGTTGCACGTTTTAAGATACCGAAAACTTGGACCGTTCATTTAAGATCAACGAAACTTTGTGGAAGTTAGTTTCCGCTTTCGGTGCACTATTATACTCGGATTTCGTCTGCTAAAAACACGTTAAAATCATTAAAGAGAGGTAGATGTAGTAAGTGAAACAGCCAATGAAAAGTATTGGGTTCCGAAAACAGAGACCCGTAATGTCTGCTGTCAGAAAATAAAATATACTCTAACATATTGTATAGTGCAATATTGTGATCTAAAACTATATCTTGGAATAAAGTTAAGTGTTGCAACTCTTGCCATGGCAGTCCATTAATATTAATGTATCGACAGCTTAATTGACTTTTAAGCTGTATATACAGCATAATAACTATCTCGTCATAAACGTCAATATGTTTGTATTATTAATTATAGCCATTAGAAAAATAATAATTAATAACATAATACGAATTTCGTTAATTTACTACCCCAAGGCTCAAAGGCCCTAAGTACCTAACATCAAACGAAGAACGTGATATTTTTACCTATGTATAAATGTATATTAATTTTGATAAGTATAACTTATTTTCATTTTCAATTCGTATAATTTGTGTAGCTAACAATAGGTACCAATACGTAATTAGATAAATAGTAATTGAATATAAATAATATAATAATTGTACGGCATAATCAAAATAAAATATTTTTTTTTTTATTTTACACAATAATATATATACAATCTGTACATTTATGCACAACTAGCATATTTTATAAGAGTTACAATATTACATGAAATATGTGATAAGAAGCCACCCACTAGTGGCACTTGACTGGATGTTGTATGATCTAACTATATATTATATATACTGATTTTTTTTTCTTTCATATAGTTCCCTACCAAGTCACGACACCAGCTCATTTTTAAACGACGCCTGGGGTTGCTAGGTAATGTTTGGGTGGATAGGTTTTTAATGAGTGGGTTTTGGTGTGTTTGTAGACGGGCATGAAAAATTTTGTAGAAGCGTGTAGCTTCTTCTGTCACTATTTTCGTTGACAGGTCATTATGTATAGGTATAGTGTAATTCGAAACAAAGGGTGGAGCATTAGTAATTTTCCTAAGAGCAATATTCTGAAATTGTTGAATTTTGTCGGTATTGGACACTTTTGCTGTACCCCATAGTTGGAGACCATATGTCCATAGAGGTTTGAGTAATGTTTTATACATAAGAACTTTAATTTGTAAACTGGAGTGTTTATTATTTGTGAGTAGAGTTCGTAGCCTTAGAAGACGGGCGTTTAAGGCAAGTTTCTTTATACGGATATGGCTATTCCAAGTGAGGCGCTTATCCGAGTTAAGTCCTAAATATCTAACTGTGTCAGATGTGGGAATAAGTATGTTATGTAAGTAGACATTAGAACAAATGGAGTAGCATAGAGTGAATATTGTATGTACTGACTTATTGGGATTGGGTTTAATACGCCAATCGGTGTACCATTCAGACATTAGGTTAAGATGAGTTTGAATATTTGCTGAGGCAGTAATAGGGTTTTTGTTAAATGATATGATGGCTTTGTCATCCTCAAAAATAAAATATACGTTCACATTTCTTGATGAATTTTTATTGCTATTCTACGCTTTACACACAAATCTTGAATACAAACATATAACTCAAATAACTATAGAAGTATATCATACATCGTATACAAACGTTCAAATAATTTTATTTGTGTAAATATTTTAGGTTGTTTTGCAGACTCTAGAGTGATTATAGAATTTTAAAATAAATATATTAAGTAGGTATAGGTACCAATAAGTAATATGAACAATGGAAACTTATTAAAGCACTCACAACTTCACATAAAGCAGAAGGTTCATCATATAGGTTCGTATATTATATATTTATATATAATTATATAATATATTTTATGTGTGTCTATTGTTGTAACATAATATTTTATGATTATGTTAGCTGTCCGATGAAATTGTCTTCTTGATTTTAGCACATTTAAAATAAGTACCTACCTAATATAGTAACATGATATCATATTATAATTTTAATTATAATTTTACAATTTCAAATATATTAGACCGCTAATGGTTTTGACATATGTTCTTAGCTTGAATGACTGTCCATCTCCGACGCTTTTACGGCTGTCGAGAGCACAGACTGATCTTGCACTCACAATGGACACTATTCAGACATCTCACAAAACGAGCACGTCTGTCCTGTGATACAAAGTATTAAAATACATATTTTGTGTACTCAATTATCCGAAATATTACTCCGGGGATTGAGCTTGAATTTCTACAGACGAATAATATCTTCTTTTATAAATATATATTTCTTATAAAAGTTAAAATGAATATTAGTTATATATGTTATATTATTTTAATGTATACTGCATATATGTATATAATAAATACAATTTTTAAATAGAAGAAACCAATTAATTTTTATAAAAACCAACGTTTAACTAAATGTAAAATACAAACAAATGCAATGAATAAAAATAATAGCCTATTAAGTTATAAATTTTAAATAAATAACTAAATATAAAATATCCAATGTAGTAAAAATGTATTTCTAATGTATAAGCTTGGACCATAGCAGTGTTAAATAATGATAATTATTATTTTAGTAAACTTCTACATTTTAAATGAAAGTATTTATGCTATTAACTTGAAATTATATAGTTCTTATTTATTACACATTAGGATACCCGCCTAGTCAAAAATATTAATATTTGCAAGTCTGATGTTATAGTATTTTCATGTTATCAGCTATCAATGAAGTCTCAAAAGTCATAAAAAATTATTAATTCTATTCTAAATTATTGTAATATTCAACTTAAATAATTGTCTGTATACCGTGGAATATCGTATAACAAATCAACGTTTTATATAATATTTCCTATTTCAAATGATATTATTAAGAATTTTCTTCTTTTATATTTCAGAAGTTTAGAAACTTATAAAATTATACTAATTATCAAACAGATTTATAAATATTATGATTATGAAATACTCTAAAATTTTGAGAAGTATATTTTTTTTTATCAAAAAAATAATATTTACTATATTACCTATAGGAAGGTACATAAATATTATAACGAAGACAACAGAAAATTCATTGTTTTTGAATTAATAATCTAACAATATACACCTATTAGTTACACAAGTTGAGTTCTATTTGATTTGATTCTTCTATTTTTCTGAAAGTAATATTAATGTTTTTAGTAATCACAGTGCTACTGATAGATTGCCTGCGATTAATTGTAATATTTTGACAAAAGCCAATGAAATACGTAGTGTGAAAAATGACTGCAGAAGACTCTGATGAATCGTCGGTGGATTTCAACACTTTACTGCAGAAGAAACGAAAGATTAATAAATTAGAAAATATTTCACTGCCAATAAAAAGACGGGTGAGTACTTTAAAAAAACTTATTGTAGCTCAAATTGAAACTGAAGCAAAATTTGATGCTGAAGTTCATCTTCTTAAATGAAAATTTCAAAAAGAGTACGACCCATTTTTTAATAAACGAAGGGAATTAATTCAAGGCAATTATGAGCCTATCAAAGAAGAATACGGTTCATCTTTAGAGGAAGATTAGTTCGTGGATATGACAAACGATGGAAAATGGTACACGTAGCCAAAAAAGAAACAGTAGCGGGGATTCCGAACTTTTGGCTTATTTTCACGAAGAATTCATTAGTTCATACGCAGAAGGGTGAAATACAACCTCACGATGTACCAATACTCAGACATTTGACAGATATCAGAGTTAATCGGTCGGAAAAATATATCGGGTATACCATGGAATTCTATTTCACACCCAAAGAGTGGTTCACCAATAACGTATTGGTCGTTAAGCATGTACAAACATATTTGCACAAAATATTTTATAATAATGTTTATATTCTATCACCTCATAAAATAAAAATCATATTCGTTAGAACAGGCTGTGAAATTCATTGGAATGGAGGAAAGAATGTGATAGAAACTGTTGAGGGTCCATAATTTTTCAATTTATTCGACACCTATGAATACATAACAAAATCAAATATTTTTGGATATTTTAACCATGAGTACTATGAAATGATGATTGCTAAGGCTATACAATATTATTTAGACCCAACAATCAATGATTATTTTCTGAAAATAACGAAGAGTTCGATTGTTTTGAAGAGACGGATTGATAAATGCGTTATAATTTGACTATGTTAAGGAAATAAGTAATATCCAAAACAAAGGTCCCACTCTGATAAATGTATATAGTATTATAATTTATAAATAACTTTAAATTGCGTGTAAGATATACATAGTGTAAAATTTATATGTGTTAACTAAAAGATTAAAAAAATAATTAAATATGAATTATTAATTAAACGTTCATACTTCTGCAATAACACGCACTTGTACTTAACCATCGTGCCGATGACTGTCTGTCACGTTGTTTGTACACACCTGAGTATCTGACATACCTGCTTTCATCATAATTCATAGTTATTATGTGAAAGACCTGCAGCAGCACCACGTGACCGGACAACCGCTGATTGGTCCCGTGGGTGTGAGTTATAACCACGTTTTGAAACACAACTCAGCCGTGAACGGACGGAAACTCTTTTGTTCATACATCGGAACAACAGATAGGGTACCTGTCCACTTTTTTCCGATTTCGTTTTTCCTTTTTTTTGTTTCAACTTTCCTACGAACAGAGTAGTCACTTAACGACGTAAAAACTGTGATGGTTTACGTAAAAGGTACCTATAGTTTTATTGACGATATCGAAAAATCGAAGCCCGTAGGTATAAATATTAGTTCATCGATTCCACCAGTACAGATACTAGTTCTTGAAACTACTAATAGAATCCGTAAATTGTGAATTGTAAGTTTAATGAAACCAGGACACTAGGAAAGTACCTTTATGCAAATAAAAATATATACTTTCTAAACAAAAATTATAAATTTTAATTTCATCAATAATTTTGTAATTAACATTATATAGTATTATGTATTTTGTATATCTATAGTTTTATTGTTTAAGTGTACCAATTACTTAAATCAGAGAATTATTCAATTTTTTTAAAAATAATTTATAAAACAATGTATATATTATTATTTATATTGTATTATTGTACCTATAATAATATATTGATTATTACATTTTAATTTTAAATGTGTTAGAGTCTAAATAGAATTTAATTTTAGATTCTGAGCGGAGCGATGAATGTATTGGTTTTACAATGATGTATGTTTTTATTTTTTTATATTTTTTTTTTATATTTTTTTTTTTATATTTTTGTGTCTGTCATCACGTTTTAGGACAGTAAAAGTGCTTGGATTTTCTTCATCAGTAGCTTTTCTGATAGGAAAGTGAATCTAGTTGGTACTTTGGGGGGTCAAAAGTATAAATTTGGAATTAAAAAATTATAAAATGTTCAGTTTTTATAACTAAGAGTTGAAAATTTAAAACAAAGATTCTCTTAAATAATTCATACTGTAACCAAAAAATCTAAAAAATATATAAACACACTTATTTTTTACAGACATTTTAATTTCAAATTTAGACAAAATTTCATATTTAAACCAAGAATTACGATTTTAGTTATTTTGTTGTGATTGAATAATATTATTCGTGGGTACTTGAAACTTCTAAAGTGTACCATTATATATCTATGATAGTATCACGGTTTTTGTTGATGTATAACGCGTTATAAGTATCTAATGGATATTGTGATATGATTAGTTTGGAATTTATTATAGGTACCTATTATAGGTCAATTTTTTGTTTAATACCATAGATATGTATATACCGATGTATATAGACTGACATACCGTCACCGATCAGAATCGTTTTTCTTATACAATGATATTATATCATTGAATTCAAATTTAATACCATCCATTATACAGTGACCCACTTGTAACCTACTGTACAGCAGAGCGACACCCACTTGCCCACCTTTTTTTTTTATTTTAAATTCCTACCTGTCAATTGAATTAACAAGTGATTTGTAAATAAGCATTTTTTATTAACAATATACAATAACAATAGGTAACAATATACAATTGTATGATAACAATAAACAATTTTATCATAACAATATGTCAATATACAATATACATGGAACATAATGAATGCAGTTAATAACAAAATATTTAACGCATCTTTTAAATACTAATTATAACATGTCATAATCTTGATAAATAGTACAATATATAAAAAACAAAGGATAATACATAGGATATACAAGGATACACAGGATATAATATATACATGATAAATATAATAATTATGATAAACGAACATTTTCCTTCAGTTTAAAACTTTACCAATATCTCGTCGTCTTGAAGAGGCAGGCTAGCTCATAGCTATTCCGTATCCTCAGACGGTACTGTGCTGCACCAGCAACATAACATTCTACCGACTTTAAGGAGTCTTCTCCCTAAAGCCGATAGGATCCGTCTACGTCGTCGAACAGCTGTTGCTGCTTCTGGCCGGTCAACATTTTCATCTTCCAGAATATCGTCATCGGTTTGCCGAGGACATATCAGTGTAGGCAGGACTGCAGGTCGGATTTCCGCCGTTACAATATCTGCCGTCTGAACACGATCCGTGGACTGCAGCTGTTGTGAATCCAGTACGATATCTGCAGAGTTCGACTGTCGGAAACCTGGCGCTCTACCATCCGTTATCTCAACGTTTCCAACAGCAGGCCTTTGTCCGATTAAATCGATAGTGAAATGTCGAGGAAAACGCACAAGTATGACGTAGTTCAGTGACCTGCTCACGGCCACCGCACGTAGGGCTTTTGACAGTGCTTCTGACAACTCAAGTGTTGCAGCAAACTTCACTCTATGATAACGTCTCTTTGATACTTGCAGCTGCAGAACTGGTTGGATTTCCACCGTTACACTATCTGCAGTCTGAACACGGTCCGTGGACTGCAGCTGTTGTGAATCCAGTACGATTTCTGCAGAGTTCGACTGTCGGAAACCTGGAGATCTACCATCTGTTATCTCAACGTTTCCAAAAGCAGGCCTTTGTCCGATTAAATCAATGGTGAAACGTCGAGGAAACCGCATAGGTATGACGTAGTTCAGTGATCTACTCACTGCCGCCTCACGTAGGGCTTTTGACAGTTCTTCTGACAACCCGAGTGTTGCAGCAAACTTCGCTCTATGATAACGACTCTTTGATACTTGCAGCTGCAGAAGTGGTTGGATTTCCAAAGTTACACTATGTGCAGTCTGCACACTGTCCACGGATAGCTTCAGCGTGGAAAGTCCCTCAGCGTCTCCAACACTCAGCTTCCCGTTTGTCTTATTACATTCCGTCAAGTTCATTTGCATTGGTACCAAGTTTGAATTTCTGCGCATAGCTGCAGACTGTACAATATTAGCCACCCTTCTTAGAAACTCCAACTGGTCTGTCGTTAACTTAAAGACATTTAGTGATTCTTTTTGTTGACGATCCATAATTAAGTGGAAAATATTCAACCTTACACAATAACACGAAAATGTCAATTGGCGATTTATTTGAAATTAAACTGCTTAGACGGTCATACGATAAATAACATGCGAAATTTGCATGGCAACAAAATATAATAATAAACGGCCAAAACATTAATTTCACAATGACATTAATTTATTTTTATCTATATATATATAAATGTACGTTAACTCATTAATCGAAAACAGCTGGTCCGATTTGGCTCAAATTTTTTTTAAGATGTTCATAATTGCCAGGAGAAGGTTTTGACGAAAGAAAATCAACCGGAAAAGTAGGAAATCTGGATGTAAAAAATACAACAGTGGCGCAACAGTGTATTATAATATTTAGGTTGGCATGTTTGTTGATTTGTATTATTATTTTTTGTCAATATATATAATAAAAATAAATGTTTGTGTGTAAACCTCTGGGAAGAAAACAGGCTAATTTAAAAATTGTTAAATTAGTTTTTTTTTTATTTATCTGATATTAGGTTAGGATTTTGTATTAATTGATTATATTAACCAACCATAGGTGGAATACGACCAACTTGGTATAACTTTGATACTTTAGAGTTAAATCATACGCTTACGTACAGACAGAGCACGGGGTCCGCGATCTACCGCAGGTAGATTGCCTACTTGATAGTATACTGCTGCGAAACATAATTTTTATTTCGGGCAACGGAAAAATTAAGATAAATTTTAAACACCATACACCGAATACTATAGAGTTGGTACATTTAACGGGCAACGAAGGGATCAGCTATAGTTTTATATAAAGACTAATTTTATTTTCAACATAATAATATAATACCTCTAATAATAAAAAATAAATGAAAACAAACCTTTATTGGGTATAGATAGGTATAATAATAATTATATTTAAATTTAAATACCGAAATGTTAAGTTCCAGCATGGAACCTTATTCTATTAAATTTTTAATTCTTAGGTGCCTACATGCAGTGTTGTAAAGTATTTGAGTAAAAGTACTCAAATACTTTTTTCCGTATTGAATACTTTTTTAAATACTTTTTATTTTGAAGTACTTGAATGGTATTTGAAATACTTTTTTTTACTATTGAATACTATTTTATTGAATACCTATTTTTTATTCTTTTAATTCTTAATTTGTTTCTACTTATAATTATTCTTGTTAAATAAAAACACACACAGACAATTTGATATAGGTTTTAGTCGATTAAATGTTTATTTTCTCCAGGAGACAGTTTATTGTGGATGAAGATCGAAAAGATACATCTATAGTCGGTATCGCTATAATTAGCTTAAGTCAATAACAAAATATATAATATGTAAAAAGCTTCTGCTTATCGTCTATTATACTTCATAGTTTATACTTTATATATTTAACTATACGAAAATATTATAACTAGGTAATTATTAGTACCTACTACCTATTTACCAAGACAATTTTTATTAATAATTATCATCTACGTTTATCGTCGATGGCGGTATGAGATATTCAAATACATATTATAGTTTGAAATAATTATATAACTTTGTAGAGAAAAGTTCATTGTTGTGGTGCAACTGACATGACTGATCAGAATTTTGATTATTGAACAAATAATGTTTTAAAAATGCAATAAACAAATGTTTGATTACAAATTATTTCAGCACTAAAAATTAAAAAGAATTTTTTTTGTATTTGAAGATTATTTCGAATACTTCTGAAAAGTATTTGAAGATTATTTCAAATACTTCTGAAAAGTATTTGAGTATAAACTAAAATACTTTACTATTTAATATTTATAGTATTTGGGTGGTATTTTAAATACTTTATTTTAACTTTTAAGAGTATTTGAGTATTGAGTAATTACTTAAATACTTTTGAAAAGTATTTTTTACAACACTGCCTACATGAATATTAAAAATTGTACGGGTTCTTAACTACATAACAATTTGCAAATTTCTGACTTAAACTGCTTATAAAAAAAATATTGTGACTATGTATGTTTGTTAAATTATATAAATTAGTATATGAACAACACATGAAGAACCTTGTATTACATTTTCAAGGACTTTGACCTTGCATCACTGTGTTAATCGATATTTATAGCAAAAAAAAACTAAAAAAATGTCAAATGTTGCTCAAAATGCGTCAAATATATTAGAACATTTTTATTTTAATTTATTTTAGCTAGGTAAATTAGTTATTAGCTATTATTATTGCTATGTACTCTGTCAAATTAAAATTTAAAAATTTAAATAATATTCTTTAAAATTGAAATATCAAAAAATAATCTTTTGAGATGCACTATATAATATTCCTACCTTTAAATTTTATAATAGATAGTTCATTTTAATATCAAAAATAACTGAGTAAACCGGATTCTGCTTGACACACAAAATAAATGGCCATGTTATGTGTTAGTGCGTTACCTAGTAAGATATAGAGATATGCGGGTGAAACATCCTATATTCCATTCCTCTTAAAAAATGTCTTCTAAAAAAGATTTTTAGTTTTCAATCTTCATAATTGACAATATTAGAATTATTTACATTGCACTAGCTCAATAGATAATTAATTTTTTGGGGCGTAGGTATAAATTTCAAAACCACACCTTTCCTTATTAAATAATATTAGAAGTAACTAACTTTAATCTGTTAAGAATAATTTTAAATAAACCTAGACTTTATTCAATCAATTTATTCTATTCTGAACTGTATGTTGAACATTTAAATTCTATTTTACATGACTACTTAAGTGCTCTATTTACTTTAAAGACATTATGTCTGATCATAAGTATAAGAGTACTAAGAGTAAGGAAAAATCTAATATTAAATCTGTTATACGTCAATATACAGCTATAGCTGTATACAACCATAATAAGATATAACCGGTATAATAAGATACTAAGTTTTAAGTACTAATAATAATTAAGACCATCTTTTATTATTAGGAGGGACCATTTATATTTATTTTTATAATTCACTACCCAGTTTATTCAATTTGCATTTTGTTAATTTTTAAAAATTACTTAAATATAATAATTTATAACGAACTGTCTCTTTTAGCACATTATGTGCTTGAAACGAGATCCAAAGCTTCATTTATTTTTTATATTATGATCAGTACCTGATACATTATTTTGTAGATATACTTAATATATTATTATTTTTAATATTATGCATGTACATTTTGGATAAACTTTATCTATTAATTATGTATATATTATGTACGATGTACCTATACGGCTATACCTTTATAAGTGTGAGAATAATTCACAAAAAATTAAGCTTTAGTTAATTACTATTAATTACTTTAAAATTACTTACTTGAAACGTGTAAAAAAATTAACAATTGTATTATCTTTCATTAGCACATCTAAAAATGTATTGATTTAATGTAATTATTAATTAGTAATAAGGAGCAACCAGGATGGCCACAAGTAAAAATTGGTAGGTGGTGCAGTCAATGGGTTGTTTTAAATCTACCAAACCTATATTAATGTAGGTACTGGTAGAATTGATGCTATATTGGCGGAACTGACGGGCCCCCGTATAAACCATAAATTATATTTTTATCAATAAACGAGTGTCCTGAAGCCCCCAGCTACACACACTGCATGCGTCTGTTACATGCAGAAACACAATTTTAATTGGAATATTTGAGATTTTTAGTCCAATTTTGAATACGTCGTTTCCCAATTGAGAATCTGTTAGTACGTTTGGCATAAAATCCGTGTTTTCTGTTCGAAAACAAATCTATGAGAATTATTATGGTATTTGCATTGATTGGTGACGATAAGTGGTGTATTTATGGGGGTGGGAGGGGGTCCAGTATTGTATTATGATTTATGATTATGCGTTACAATGACATTGTCTCTGAAGTTTTTAAACTTCATACCACTAAAACTATATAAACAGTACGATAATCGACATATATTCGTAGATATATATTTTTACATCATGAACTTATCAAAGGGCTAGTTTTGAAAACTCCAAGTCACAGAGACTAGATGTTATATTCAAATGACCTCTTTTGATAATTTCCTTATAAAAGTACTAAAAACATACATTTTAAATCATAACGCAGGCGCGGGTAAGTTGCTTGCATTAGATAATCGTCCCCTTGACCGATGGACGTTGACAGGGATTGGCATTCGCTTCCTCCTGCAACCGTGGAAACGATTTAACGATATCATCGCGCAATGTCACATAATGTTATATATTATACTTGCTATGGTATAATTTATTTAAAATATTTTAATATACCCATATATATATATATATATATATGTGATAAAAACGTATATATCAAATCGTAAACGAATATAATATATTACTAGGATGAGTGCATTTCTGGGTTAAGATTTATTACATTATAATAATAATACATAAGTACCTTCTCGTACACATCGAACCGGAAACGTGACGATAGTAGTCATAATCATTGTTGTGTGTATAATCATATACCATATCATACATTGTATTACTATGGTTGGGACAAGGGTCGCTGTGATTTCCCACTGAGAGAACACAGAACAACTAGAAAATATGATGACTGCAGATTCACTCGCTGTGTATTATAATAATATTATCGTCATTTTCGTATTGACCGTCACACGCGGACATAAAGTCGCCGCGTGAGCCTATAAAATATATTCTTAATATTAATCGATAAACTGCAGTATAGGTGTGGTGATAATTCGCGAACCACAAGCTCGACAGACGGACGGGTGGACAACAACAGGTGTGGATTGTTATTACAATATTACTATTTATTATTATTATTATAAATGATAGTATTATTGTCGCTACGTCTGTCGTCGACCGGTAACCCCGCTTCGGAATTTTGACGAATTTTCACCGCAGACCACTTTCGGCGTCGTTCTTAGTGCATAGAGGAGGAGTGACCTTTATTTTATATTTTATATGTACCTACGTCTAAACCGACACGATTCGTTTGGTCTCCGGCTGACGTGACGACCGTTCAACCCGCGGGGCTTACGCTTCCCAGTTT